AATTGTTTCCATGGAAACTGAGAAAATAATAAATCACAAAAAGCAAATAGCAAAAGGCACCACTTTTGGATCTGCCTCACATATCTGCCAAGTTTTGCTGAAAGATATTGAATAGTTTTCGAGTTGTGCTCCGGAAACGAAACCCACCCCTCCTTTGGGGACTAAGTCCGAATCGTTTCCATGTAAACCGGGAAAAATAAAAATGCCAAAAATCGGCAAATAGCAAAAGGCACCCCTTAAGGTTCTGTTTGATATATCTACCAAGTTTTGTTGAAATATATTGAACGGTTCTTGAGTTATACTCCGGAAGTGAAGCCCACCCTCCCTTTTGGGATTAAGTCCGAATCGTTTCCATGAAAATCAGGAAAAATAAATATGCCAAAATTCTGCCAAATAGCAAAAGGCACCACTTTGGCATCTGCCTCACATATCTGCCAAGTTTTGCTGAAAGATATTAAGAAGTTTTCCAGTTGTACTCCGGAAACGAAACCCACCCCTCCTTTTTCCTTTTGGGATTAAGTCCGAATCGTTTCCATGAAAATCAGGAAAAATAAATATGCCCAAATTCTGCCAAATAGCAAAAGGCACCACTTTGGCATCTGCCTCACATATCTGTCAAGTTTTGCTGAAAGATATTTAAGAAGTTTTCCTGTTGTGCTCCAGAAACGAAACCCACCCCTTCCTTTTGAGACTAAGTCCGAATCATTTCCATGGAAACCGAGAAAATAATAGATCACAAATATCTGCAAATAGCAAAAGGCACCACTTGGGGATCTGCCTCACATATCTGCCAAGTTTTGCTGAAAGATATAGAGAAGTTTTCGAGTTGTGTTCCGGAAACGAAGCCCACCCCTCACTTTTGGGACTAAGTCAGAATCGTTTCCATGGAAACCGGGAAAAATAAAAATGCCCAAAATCGGCAAATAGCAAAAGGCACAACTTTAGGATCTGTTTGATATATCTAACCAGTTTTGTTGAAAAATATTATACGGTTTTTGAGTTGTGCTCCGGCAACGAAAGCATTCCTTACTTTTTGAGACTAAGTCCAAAATGTTTCCATGGAAACCAAGAAAAATAAAAATGACAAAAATCTGCAAATAGCAAAAGGCCCCAGTTTAGGATCTGTTTGATATATCTACCAAGTTTTGTTGAAAAATATTGAACGGTTCTTGAGTTATGCTCCGGAAACGAAGCCCACCCCTCACTTTTGGGACTAAGTCTGAATCGTTTCCATGGAAACCGGGAAAAATAAAAATGCCAAAAATCTGCAAATAGCAAGAGGCACCACTTAAGGTTCTGTTTGATATATCTACCATGTCTTGTTGAAAAATATTGAACGTTTTTTGAGTTATGCTCCGGAAACGAAGCCCACCCTTCTTTAAGACTAAGTCCAAAACGTTTCCATGGAAACCGAGAAAAATTAAAATGACAATAATCTGTAAATAGCAAAAGGCACCACCTTAGGTTATGTTTGACATATCTACCAATTTTCGTTGAAAAATATCAAAAGGTCTTTGAGTTCCGGAAACAAAATGATGACGGACGGACGGACAGACGGACGAGGCGACGACTATAAAAATGTATACCATTAAACTAACAAGTAAACAATGTAATGAAAACATAAAGTTTTCAAAATAAATACCTCTCTCCTTCAGGCAGACAGACAGACAGACTGCTTATTTACGTCTTACCATATGTACATTCAAATAAATAATAATACATATAGAAATATTCAGTAAATATTATAAATGGAGTTATGAGAGACGGTTGATAATTAAATATCACAGAACAATATATTGGAAGCATATGAGTCGATAAAATGACAACTGATCTTAAAAGATATATGCAAAAATATTAACATGAAATGTTAAACTTATTCATATAAAATTTTCCCTCGTCTTGCTTGTAACGATAGTTCTTCACAGTCTCTTACAGTGATGATGTTCATAAAAGAGCTTCTTTGGTGATTCCCAATGTGTTCATTCGCCGGTAAAAAGCTAAGTGCCAAGGCTTGTGTCTGTCCCGTGCTTGATTATTTTCCCAATTATAAACATAGGGCTTTATACGATCTTGAGTCCATATTCATCATTCTCCTCCAGTAACGAACCAAGCATATATCTTGTCTTACACTTAGTTGCAGGGTTCCATCCCATGTCACCAATAACTTCTGTTAGGAAGTTCTTGTTTACTACCCTCATGTCTATAATCATTCGCATCTCGTGTGTGTGTTTCTTGTGCACAAGAAACACTGGAGAGTAAAATCCCTTGGAGGTATCATACCTCTACTTCTTCCTCTGAAACTGTGTGATTGCTCTCTTGAAGGAACAGAAGATGAGCGTGATCTGGATTCCGACATACGGTCAAAGGCAGATTTTTGTAATGAGTCCAGACAGCGCAAAGAGGAGGAGCGAGGCATAGTAGTTGATGGAGTACCTATCTTACTTCTAGGAACACTCCTGGATCTATTCTGAGCAAGCAGAGAAGGAGGCTAATTGCTGATTAAGATTACGCGAGGTCACAGCATCCTTAGTCGCAATGGCCTGGTGGCACTGTCCACTAAATATGGCAGAGGAGTTGATGGGTTGCTGACAAAAGTTGGTCCTTCAAGGTATCTGGGAGGTTTCTCACAGAGCGTAAACACTGAAGACGATCCATGGCAGTAAAATGTCCTAAGGTGTCAACTTGGGCTTGTGTAGCATCACTGACCCCCTGGTACACTACGTCAAGAAAAGAGTGCGCTAGAGCAACTTCATGGGCTGACATTGCAACTGAGGTTTCCTTCTTTACCCCCGCGTAATCTTGAAAGACAGGGGGAAACAAGGCCCTAACACCGTCCACAAACCAGTTCACATAAGATAGAATATCCACAGGAGTTCAAGCTACAATATCTTCGTCACGCACATCCTTGCTAGATAGGTGAATGAAGTGTTCCTTTGGAGGCTTAGAGTCCAGTTGAGAATAATCATCATCCAGCTAAAGTGGAGCAGAGGGTAATAATCTGTCATGAATACTGTAACCCAGTCTTTGAGAGATCCTAGGTAAACTAAATACGTTCTTGGAATTGACAAATTGCATGTAATAAGACTCTAATGGTTGACTTGACTACAGAAGAGTGAAGTAGTGAAAGTCTAGACGCACGTTTAGGTGGGAGACATCCTGATGTCCCCAGTCCCACGTGAATTTCCAGCACTGGTTGATCAGATGGTGAAGGCACCGTAGACGGATTAACTTCATAAATGAGTTCAATTTTCTCTCTAAAAGTCCATCCTGGTACGTTATCATCAGCTTCCGTATCAAAGGAAGAGACTGTCATCTAACCGTCTCGCATAACAATGCCTTCATGCTAAACAGGGTAAACACTAGATACGTGCTGGTCCGAAAAAAACCCAGGACTAACGGAAGAATAGGAGGGTTGTCAATATCCAGTGACCCAGTCTTCCCAGCCGACCAATCGAACATGCCGCCCGTGGCTAAGGTCGATGACTGCTGAGTTTCAGCCGAGGTGTACGTGCCATCCAAGCCAGACGTACTACCCTTAAATTGACCCTGGGCTGACCCAGTGACAGCTATCTGATCAAAGACATCTGAGTCAATAACCCCCTGCCCGTGCAGCATGCTTGCGTCCGTGTTAGTAGTAGTGAGTGAGAGTTGGGTTGTATTCCGCTTTTAGCAATCTTCCAGCAATATCACGGTGGGGGACACAAGAAATGGGTTTCACACATTGTACCCATGCAGGGAATCGAACCCAGGCTTTCGGCGTGTCCGGCGTGACGAGCGAATGCTTTACCACCATGAGCATCAAGATCCGACATATTTTTCTGACACTGTAAGCATTTGCTTTAAGCCATAGTGCAGGAAAAACAAACAATGATACTTTCACAAAATGTCACAAAAGTCACAAAGTTACTAAATGTGATTGTTGCACCAAGCAATGCGATTGTACTGACCAATCTGTTGATTTGATCTTGATAAATCACAGCTAATTTGATGACAATGATTCACAGTACAAAAACATTTCCAATTTCCTGGATACGTCCTATGTGTAGCACATACAGAAAAATTGTGAGGTTTATAAGTGGGCACACTCTGACATCACGAATTAAGGGGAGATTACTCCTCAGAGTGAGGGCATACCACCAGGGAAACTATGACTTAGGCATCATTTTTATTTTCCATTTCTTCTGTATGTATCTGTGGTAACCACAGGAATTAGGCATCCATAATCCAGTGGGAATAGTTACACCTATAATTTTCATAGATGCCAACACTAGTCCATATCAGATGGCAGCCCACTAGACCTGGAGATACCAGCATAGTAAAGACTGACACCCTCACAGCAAGAACGTTGCACATAGCATAACTTGTTGTCCATGTGTCTGAAGTTAGACAAGTCTGAGTGCAGTCAGGTTGGCTTCTATCCAAGCTTCCATTCAATCTTTCTCTGATATCCCTCACAGTAGTTCTTTGCAAAGGGCTCGGTCCTGTTCCAGTGGTGGAGGCACAGAGTTGGCACTTATAATACAACAAGCTTGTCTGCAAATGTTATATTGAGCTGAGTCGAATCCATAAATCCTGGTCTTCAAACAATTGTTCTGCAGAGAACTCCAGAGAGCTTAATGTCTTATTGCTGTGGTCTCTGTTAGTGTCCTGCTCCATGTAGCCTATGTGTTCTCTGCTGCCCATATGGTTTATGGAGCCTTGCAGATCTGCAGTGACTGCTTCCCTAAGCTGCTGTATGACTCTTGTCTATGCTGCTTGTGCCGATCTTACTAGAGACCATATTATTACAGTTTTTACTAGGTCCCACAATACCTTTAACATAAGATAAACTTAGGCTATCAGGCTGGTAAAAATATACAAATTCTGCAACACTTTCTGAAGTCACACAATTTAGAATCCTACATAACTTTTCTGAGAGTGTTTTATACACAATATTGACAGTGAGCTGTCAATGATAACATACTAAATATATATTAAATACATACTAAATATATACTTACCATCTGAAGGTGAAGTTCCACCAATCTCCCGTTGTCCAACATACAGTAATTCATTTGGTCCAACAGAACATGTTGTTTGATTGCAGAGGAGCTTTGATGATGCCTGTTTAAAGAATTCAAAGACAAATAAAATTCTATGTTGGAAATTTACTCACTTTTTCTGGAAGAGAAAAGGGAATAAAATTGGAACTAATTCTTGTACTTCTATTGCTCCATAATACAACAGATCTAGATCTTCATCTAGATGTGCAAATGTGCTGCCTCCCTATTGATGTGTGTGTGTGTGCTACTGCCGTTAATTTAATGTGAGTGTGTTGAATGCTGCCTCCCTAATGTTGTACGTCTAATGCTGCCTCCCTATTGATGTGTGTGTGTGCTACTGCCGTTATTTTAATGTGAGTGTGTTGAATGCTGCCTCCCTAATGTTGTACGTCTAATGCTGCCTCCCTTTTGATGTGTGTGTGTGTGCTACTGCCGTTATCCTAACATGAGAGGATTGAATGCTGCCTCTCTATCGTTATAACGATAATGATAATAATAAAGTTGCAGACTTCGGAATCTATTCCAATCAGAAGGGGAATATTCCAAGGGGATTCTTTTAGTCCTTAGCTTTTTTGTTTGTCTTTAAATCCTTTGAGCTTTCTGCTCAATAAAGAGGAGGGTTCCCATCCTGGACCTCCTCAGTACAGATCCCCAACACTGCTTACCCATCTCCTTTACATGGATGACATTGAGCTCATTGCCAAAGGAGATACCAATTTGAAAGATCAGGTAAATGTAATACACTTCATTTGAAACGTAACATGGTAATTAGGGCTGAGTAAAAACTTGCTTAAAGAAAATGTGGGAGCTCAGAGCTAAATGCTCAAAACAAGGTCAAATCCACCAATACTTTTGCTGTGCCAGTCCTTTCCTATTCCTTTGGAGTAGTTGATTGGATCCTGTCTGATAACAGAGCCCACCATCCTCGTTCCTCTGTTAATCGTTTATATATGCCAATCAAATCGGAAGGTCAGTGTTTGATTAATGTGGAGGCTCTTCATGATAGAATTCTTTCGTGTACTTTTGCACATATTTATCAGATGATCCTCTGGTGATGCATGTCAAGACTCATGATGAAAGCAAGGAAAACCACAGCTATTTTAAGCATGCAAAGGTTGTTGGACAGAATCTGAAATTTGAGGTTGATTTTGTAGATAGCTGTGTACTGCTGGAAGATGAAGTCCTTCACCAAGTCTGCCCAGAGACGGTCTTTTGTGGAGCAGCTTTCTGAGAAACCATTTAACCGTGTGTACATGCAGTGTGTGGAACAGAATAGCAATCCAACCGACTCCGTCACCTGGATGATGTTGCTGCTCAGGACAAGTCACTTTCCATTCACAATCGCCTAAATGTGATTCTTAAAGAAAATATTTATGTGCAATGTCGACTGTGTAATGAATTTACAGAGACTGTCCAACACTTGTCAGTGGATGCCCTTCCTTGGCACAAACAGCATATCATAAAAGACATAATTGCATGGCTTGTTGCTTCTACTATCGTCTCCGCCATGCCTGTGGCTTTGACTCTGAGGCCCAACCATAGTACGACCCTGAACATATCCAGGGCATCATGGAAAATGATGCTTTCAAACTTCTTTGGAATAGGCCAATACAGCCACAGAAAAATTCCAGCCATCAAACCTGATCTTGTCCTTTTTGATAAAGCCAATGAATATATTCATGTCATTGAATTTTTTGGCCCTTTTGACAGCAATGAGATTGGCAAGATTCAGGAAAAGCATGCTAAATATGTGGGCCTCGCCTTTGAAATGTCTTGCTTGCATCCCAAGTAATGTCGTCTTGCACCCCATTGTTTTCAGTGCCCTTAGTTTGGTACCTCCTGATCTCTTGGTGCAGATCAGGAGAGTGCCCGGGTTCTCCACCGGGAGCACAGCCCTTCTGACAGTCTGGGTAATGCAGAAGGCTGCAGTGTTGGGGAGTCTACATATTCTCTGGAAAAGTTCTTGGTGGGTTCGACTAGGCAGCATTTCCTGTGAGAAATCCCGTTCGCTGTCTGGGCTGCGTGTAGAGGGGCCTGACTGTGCAAGGATCACCCGAACCCTCTCTGCTGCATATTTATCTTAATCTATAAAATAAATGTATATTTATGAAACGCCTAATCAACACCCTAAGGCATGCTCAAAGTGCTGTAGAATATTTATACTATTATTACCCAGATAACCCAAGCTAGAAGGTTATAGTCACACTTTTCCCACCAGGTACCCACTTTCTGCCCATTATTGTGTGCCCAATGCTGCCTTCCTATTGTTGTGTGTGTGTGTGTGATACTGCCTTTACCTCAATGTATGTGTGTGGTGAATGCTGCCTCCCTATTGATGTGTGTGTGTGATACTGCCTGTATCTTAATGTGAGTGTGTTGAATGTTGCCTACCTATTGTTGTGTGCCTAATGCTGCCTCCCTATAGACCTTTCCATGGCATAGTTTATGCAAATAATGACATAACAAAAATATATCAAACATTATTTATTGATATACAAGATTGGGGAATTGGTGGGGCTGATTGCCAAATGACCCTAGGGCTAAGTGGTGACACGCCGGATGTGTCCTAGGGTTACCCTTAGCACGCCGGGTGCTTACACTATTTTTGGGGGGGCCAAAACAGTTTCTCCTGTGGGAGAATGTTTTGAGGCCCAAATCAGCAACCAGTCCCACGTAGTACAAGTAACAATGGATGTAAATGAAATAAAAACATGATAGGATATGATCCCTGTTGAAGGGAGGCGGGTGGGTAAGCAAAATACTAATCTGAATTCCTTCCAAAATGGCGAATACACAGAAACCGGGAACCTAAGGCATCGTGGGTAGCTTGGCAAAGTATTGTGGTAGCTTGGCAAATATGTGGTAGGATTATTTGATAACGAATGTAAATGTAGTATATTGTTGCTGTACATATAACTACTTGTAATGCAAAGTAGTAATATGCATATATCAAAGGAATCTATGTTAGAAATAAATGAGACGGAACGCGCGGTGTGCCGTACCTGTCTAACTGGGGTAAGGTGGTATCAAAGACCATGGTAGAGAGATGTAAACAAGTGATAGAGACGTGCGTAATGAAGCATGGTGCAAGCAAATATATAAATGTTATATGGACTAGACTAGCAATGAGGATGGGACATGTCCTTGTTGCATAAACTCATAACAAGTTATGTATATTTATGCAAATAATGACATAACAAAAATATATCAAACATTATTTATTGATATACAAGATTGGGGAATTGGTGGGGCTGATTGCCAAATGACCCTATGGCTAAGTGGTAACACGCCGGATGTGTCCTAGGGTTACCCTTAGCACGTCGGGTGCTTACACTATTTTTGGGGGGGCCAAAACAGTTTCTCCTGTGGGAGAATGTTTTGAGGCCCATGAGAAGGAATGTGAGTATGAGTGAATGACCCCCAAAAATGACTGGGGTAGGTTACACAAAGCACATAGCTCGTTGAGCTGCTTGTAATGTAGAATTCGATACATCAATGTATCGGAGAAAGCAGTCTGATCTCCAACGTCCAAGCGTTTGGATGAGGTGCCCTTCTATCCGGGCAGCACTGCACGAGGAAGCCGCTCCCCGACGGAAGCTATGTGTGTTGTATAAGTCACCATTGATCCCTATTCTGTGAAGCGTACATCTTAGGTATCCCAGAAATCTTGCTCTAGTAATGTGTTGCCCTTCTGCATTGATAAACAGGGGGTGTGATGGCAAAGTACCCCTGTTGCTGCGCACCTGTATCCAATATTTTAGAGCTGTGTAAGGACAAACAGGTGTTCCTGTACTACACAACGTGATTACAACACCTTTTCGAAAGGGATCCGTTTTGGACACCTTTAACAACACTTTAGCACAAGGCACACTCTTGTCTAGTGTGACGTCTGACAAGCACATGTTGACCGCTGGATTAAAAGGAGATACACAGGTGAATTCACTACTTCTCATAAATCCAAAGAAAGCAACTGTACACATGGTTTCCATCATCAGATCATTGTATGGTCCGAACACGCCACTCCTCAATGTCACTACCATGTTCTTGAGAATGTCGTACGTTATGGGAAGCCTCTGTAACGCAGGAGAAGATTGCAATTTCTTGTATCCTTTCAGTACTGTTTGCAGTCTACTGGTGGCCCCTAGAATTGATCGATCAAAAACACAATACACACCCTTTGACATGTACTCATATCTGATGCCTGCTATATAGGTTTTCACTGTGGTGTACTTCAGATGGAAGGTATTGAAACAATAAGCCACAAACTGCATGAGCAATTCCTCATCTATTTGGGGTAGTCCATTCACTGATGGTAGGAACAAGTGGAACATGATGAGAAACTGGATAAACGCCTGAAAACCTGTTGAGTATGTGGCTCTCGTCCTTTGACTCACTGCTGCATCCCACAATGTATTTAGACTTGATGTTAGTCCCAGAGTACTTGGTTGATGGGTGGGCAGGGATGCCTTCCTATTGTTGTGTGTGTGTGTGTGTGATACTGCCTTTACCTCAATGTATGTGTGTGGTGAATGCTGCCTCCCTATTGATGTGTGAGTGTGATACTGCCTGTATCTTAATGTGAGTGTGTTGAATGTTGCCTACCTATTGTTGTGTGCCTAATGCTGCCTCCCTATAGACCTTTCCATGGCGTAGTTAATGGGCACAGCCATTTTGTGGCAGCCATTAAGCAGCTGCAACGATGAACTGGTCTGTACTATTTGTAAAGCCGCGGCAATCAAGTATGACGTTGCAAACAAGTCTACACAGTGCCCAGTCAATGCTTACACGGCAGAAAAACAAAGTCTCCTTACTGGTCTAATTAGATCTCGTTTTTAGGATTTCTGATGTCATGTCCAAAACAAACATTGCAGGTAAGAAACGTTTAAAGAACTAAAGTTTAAAGAAATGACCAGGTAATGCCAAAATCATGTGCACTTTGATGTAACTCGACGATTGTAATGTGCACGAAAACTGAGGGCCTTTTAACGAAAGTTGAATTTAACGTGAAACTGTATGTAACTATAGGCTGCCTGTATCTTATAAGGCCTGTGTTCTGAACTT